GTATATTTACTAAATTTGTGAGAATATTTACAACTTCAATGGTATGTTTACCAAATTTGTGAAAATCTTTACAATTTCAATGGATTCAAATATTTACAACTTCATGGGGAGATTTGATCGATCACAAACTTATTGTTTTTCAAAAAAATTTGGGAGAGACTACTTCAACCTTGCGATAGATCACAAGATCTTAGGATAGATCGCAAATATTTTGGAGATAAAAAAATAATAATATTTTTGATATATTCCGAATAATAATTTTGATATATTCTAAATAATAATAATAATTGACACTTTNAGATTAGTAATGTCTTGTGAGTAATTTCTTGTTGTACTCTTTAGTTTGGGTGGATCTAAAATTGTGAATTAAATATTTATGTTTTATACAATTATTTTCTTTAGGCTTTAAAGTTATATTTTTTCTGAAATTATAGATTGATTGAATATTTTTAGTAAAAGTTCTATGCTCTATACAATTATTTGATTATTCATTAACTTGATTGAGTTCTTGTTATGAATAATGCTTATGATTCTTTACGAATTTCATAGAACTAGTTTTTTTCAAATCAATTGAATTTGTGTTTTTCATGCTAAATCTTCTGGTTGACTACATTGAGCTTGGAGATCAACTGAGATAAATTATAATTCCATAAACATAGATATTTTTGTAAACATAAATAGATTCAGATCTCGAAATTGAAGAGTTATTTTTCCAATTGATACATCCCCTTTAAACAAATTTTCTTTTATTTATAAAATACTTTCAACTTTCAAAATTAATTTTTACATGTTCTTTTGTTATCTACTTTTATAATTTCTTCGATTTCTATTGTATAACCTTGGACTTTAGAGTATTTATTACTTTTTGACCACTTAAGTGCAGCTATTCGGTATCAAGCAATAACCGTCCTTTTCGTTACCCTTGTTCACCGAACGCCTTTGAATCTACATAACCTTGTCACTTGCTTTTCTGCTCGGCTGATCGGTCGAAAACTCTCTACTGAGTTTGTCTTCTACCATGACATACTTTTTCACCATGGCCAGCAACTCCTCCATATCAAGGGCAAGGCATCTAGTCAATGACTAGTACAACGGGTTCTCTTTCGTTACCCCAATCTTGAATGATGTGGTTGTAATCTCAGGATTGTAATTTTCTATCTCATTCATGATCTCCAAGTAACGATGAGCATACTCCACAATGTATCCTCCTGCTTCTTCTTCAGAGAAAACATCACCCCAATAACTTTTGGGTTCTTGCTGCTGGTAATAAACCGAGCAGTCAACTATTCGGTCAGTAACACCCAATTATCAATTGAATTCCTTGGGAGGTAGTCGTACCACTTCATGACCAACACTCCCAAGCTACTCGAGAATATGGTACACATTAGGGCTTTGTTTTTTCTTAGCATTGCCATAAGCTATCTATAATGGTGTATATGGGCAGAAGGATCGATTTTGCCATCATAGAACTTGAAATTTGGCATCACAAACTTGGTGGGTATCCTCTCTTCTTCTATCCATTGAGTGAAGTGGGACACCTCCACTCCCCACAAGTATTCTGTTATGGATCTCCTAGCCCCATCCCTTGCAGTCTGGCATTCGGGATGCTTTAGGCAGCTAATCAGTTCCTTGGTTGTAACACGCCTCCAATTGTCTTCCTGATCTTCAACCCGAGCTAATTTCTACCTCCACTGCCTGTCACGTGTGTCATCTCCGCGTTAGTATCTTCGTTTGGCTGGGCTTTGTCTACGATCAGCATGACAAAACTCCCCCTTGACGTCAGTCCCCTCTCGGTCAGACCTTTTGATTACCTCTTGGTCTTGTGAACTCCTCAAGGCTTCTTGTAATGCCTCATTCTCCCATTTAAGCTTTTCGTCCTCTTCTTGTGACCTTTGGAGCATGGCGTCTCGAGCATCTTGTTGGTCCTCCAAGGACCTTATTAGTTTCATGAAGGCTGAGACCCCCCCGAGTCTTCTGGAACATCATCTTGAGGGTTATATTGCTTAAGGGATGTGTTCTCTCGAGTCTCCTGTCTATCTTCATTAGGGACCCGACTATGGAACATCCATTGAGAATTTCGGTATCATACCGAAATTCAATGTCCACCGTTGATCTATGATAGACCAAAAGTGAAGCGTTAATTAATGTATCTTTTAAAAAAAATTGACAAAGAGTGAACTGCCAACTTGTTTGGTACCGATTTGGTGGACATGACAAGACATTGAAATGACATGTCAGATGGTATTAGTAGAAGGAGAAGGTTACCGTACATCCAAGGGTATTTTTGGTACCTAATCGAAAATTTTAAATTACAACATTAATGGTATGTTTACTAAATTGATAGTATATTTACACCGATTGACAGATAATACAAGACGAAACATATTTTTGAGCTGTCATTAAGTCAATTGAGAGCAAAATTACAACATTAGTGAGAAATTTATGACTATAGTGAACAAAATTTCAACATTAGTGAAAATTTTACAACAGTAGTGAATAAAATTACAAAATTTGTGGGAATATTTACTAAATTTGTGGGAATATTTATAATTTTAGTGGTATATTTACTAAATTTGTGAGAATATTTACAACTTCAATGGTATGTTTACCAAATTTGTGAAAATCTTTACAATTTCAATGGATTCAAATATTTACAACTTCATGGGGAGATTTGATCGATCACAAACTTATTGTTTTTCAAAAAAATTTGGGAGAGACTACTTCAACCTTGCGATAGATCACAAGATCTTAGGATAGATCGCAAATATTTTGGAGATAAAAAAATAATAATATTTTTGATATATTCCGAATAATAATTTTGATATATTCTAAATAATAATAATAATTGACACTTTTATTTACCACTTTTATGGGAATATTTCTAATTTGAATGAATTCTTTATGGGAATAATTACAACCTCAGTGGTATGTGTTACCAAATTTATTTGTTTAATTGATGTATCAAAAATATGTTTAATAAAAATTCAATTTTAATATTTTTTTAAAATTTATCCAATTTATTTTTAAAATAAATTTAAAATTGAATTTTTATTAAAAATATTTTAAAATTAAATTTTTATTAAACATATTTTAAAATTGAATTTTGAAAAATAGATCAAATTGTTGTTTGATCTATCAAATTCTTGTGATAGATCATAAACATTCATAAAAAATTTTCAACTATTGTTGTAAATTTTTCACTAATGTTGTAATTTGTACAACTATTGTGGTAATTTTTTCACTACTCTTTATAAATTTTTCATTAATGTTGTAATAGAACAATCATAAAGAGAGAGACAGAAAATCCATGATCGATCAAACATATATTTGATCGATCATGGACTAGTAATGAATTCATTGAAGTTGTAAAAATTTTTACAAATTTGGTAAACATACCACTGAAGTTGTAAATATTCTCACNTAATGAATTCATTGAAGTTGTAAAAATTTTTACAAATTTGGTAAACATACCACTGAAGTAGTAAATATTCTCACCAAATTTGTGGTGTAGAGAGAGAGACAGAAAGTCCATGATCGATCAAACATATATTTGATGGATCATGGACTAGTAATAAATCCACTGAAGTTGTAAAGATTATCACAAATTTGATAAACATATCATTGAAGTTGTAAATATTCCCACAAATTTAGTAAATATACCAATGAAGTTGTAAATATTCCCACAAATTAAGTAAATATCCTCACCAAATTTGTGGTGTAGAGAGAGAGATAGAAAGTCAATAATCGATCAAACATATATTGATCGATCATGGATTAGTAATGAATCCATTGAAGTTGTAAAGATTATCACAAATTTGGTAAACATACCACTAAAGTTGTAAATGGATTCATTACTAGTCCATGATCGATCAAATATATGTGTGATCGATCATGGACTTTTTGTCTCTCTCTCTTTTGCCGCCATTAAGTCAATTGAGGGCAAAATTACAACATTAGTGGAACGGTTACGACTATAATGAACAAAATTACAACATTAGTAAACATTTTACAACAGTAGTGAATAAAATTACAAAATTTGTGGGAACATTTACCNTGTCATCTCCGCGTTAGTATCTTCGTTTGGCTGGGCTTTGTCTACGATCAGCATGACAAAACTCCCCCTTGACGTCAGTTCCCTCTCGGTCAGACCTTTTGATTACCTCTTGGTCTTGTGAACTCCTCGAGGCTTCTTGTAATGCCTCATTCTNCAGTGGTATGTTTACCAAATTTGTGATAATCTTTACAACTTCAATGGATTCATTACTAGTCCATGATCGATCAAATATATGTTTGATTGATCATGGACTTTATGTCTCTCTCTTTATGATTATTCTGTTGCAACATTAATAAAAAATTTATAAGAGTAGTGGAAAAATTACCACAATAGTGGTACAAATTATAATATTAGTGAAAAATTTACAACAATAGTATGNTAAAAAATTTATAAGAGTAGTGGAAAAATTACCACAATAGTAGTACAAATTACAATATTAGTGAAAATTTTACAACAATAATATGAAAAATTTACAACAATAGTGGAAAAAATTTTATGAATGTTTATGATCTATCACAAGAATTTGATAGATCAAACAACAATTTGATCGATTTTTCAAAATTCAATTTTAAAATAAGTTTAATAAAAATTTAATTTTAAATTTATTTTAAAAATAAATTGGATAAATTTTTTAAAAAAATATTAAAATTGAATTTTTATTGAACATATTTTTGATACATCAATTAAACAAATAAATTTGGTAACACATGTCACTGAGGTTGTAATTATTCCCACAAACAATTCATTTAAATTATAAATATTCCCATAAAAGTGATAAATAAAAGTGACAATTATTATTATTTTTTAGAATATATCAAAATTATTATTTTTTTTTATCCCCAAAATATTTGCGATCTATCCTAAAATCTTGTAATCTATCGCAAGGTTGAATTAATCTCCCCTAAATTTTTTTGAAAAATAGTAAGTTTGTGATCGATCAACTCTCCCCACGATCGATCAAATCTCCCATGAAGTTTTAAATATTTGAATCCATTGAAGTTGTAAATACTTTCACAAATTTGGTCAACATATCATTGAAGTTGTAAATATTCCTACAAATTTGATAAATATACCACTGAAGTTGTAAATATGCTCTTACTAGTAATTTTGTTACTATATTGAAGGAATATTTATAACTTGAATGGATTGTTTAACAAATTTGTTGAAATATTTACAACTTAGATGGATTATTTACCAAAGTTATGGAAATATTTACAAGTTCAGTGAAATTTTTGCCAAATTTGTGGCAATAATTACAACCTCAGTGGTATGTTTACAAAAGTTGTGAACATATTTACAACTTCAATAGATGCTTTAGTAGTAGTTCATGATCGATCAATAAATATGCATGATCGATCAGAAAACACATGCTTAATTTATGAATATTTTACAATTAGTCCAAGATAATATACAATTTCAATGGATCCTTTATCACCTTTACGGGAATATTTACAAAATTAATGGAGTGGAAGTATTTACAACTTTGATGGATTGTTTACCAAATTTATGGAAATATTTATAACTTGAGTAGTATTTTTACCATATTTTGTGGGAATAATTACAACCTCAATGGTATGTTTACAACATTTGTGGGAATATTTACAATTTCACTGGATGCTTTACTAGTTCATGATGGATCATTAAATATGTATGATCGATCAAGTGCTTAATTTATGAATATTTTATAACTAGTCTAAGATGATATACAACTTCAATGAATCATTTACCACCTTAATGGAAATAGTTACAACTTTAATGGAGTGTTTATGAAAATATTTACAACCTCAATGGTATGTGTTACCAAATAGGTGGGAATATTTACCACTTTAATGGATTATTTACTAGTTCATGATCGATCATTAAATATGATTGATCGATCGGAACACAAAGTTGTGCCTAATTCATGAATTTTTTACAAATAATCCAAGGGATATACAACTTTAATGGATGATATACTACTTTTATGGTAATATTTACAACTTTAATGGATTGTATATGGAAATAATTACAAGCACAGTGTACGAAATTTGTGGGACTATTTACAAGTGCAATGAATTGCTTACAAATTCAATGGATCATTTATCACTTTTATGAGACTATTTACAATTTTAGTGGTATATTTACCAAAATTGTGAAAATATTTACAACTTCAATGTATTCTTTACCAGTCGATGATCGATCATTACATGTAATCGATCGATCAAAACACAATGATTAATTGATGAATATTTTACAACTACTGCAAAGAGATATACAATTTTAGTGGATCATTTACCATATTTATGAGAATTTTTACAGGTTCAATGGTATGTCTTGTAAAATTTGTGGGAATATTTACAACTTTCATGGATTCTCTAGTAGTCATGATCGATCATTAAATATGATCTATCAATCGTAGCACACAGGTGTGTGGTTAATTAATTTATGAATAATTTACAACTTATCCAAGAAGCTATACAACTTAAATGGATTATTTACCACTTTGATGGGAATATTTACAACCTCAATGAATTTTTTATGGAATTATTTATAACTTCAGTGAATTGTTTACCAAATTTCTAGAAATATTTACAACTTCAATGGAATTCCTACCATATTTATGGAAATATTTACAACTGCGATGGATTGTTGACGACATTTATGGGAATATTTACAACTCTGGTGGATTGTTTACCACATTTTGTGTAAATAATTACTAGATAAAAGGTTTTGTTACTATAATGAAGTTAATAATTAGGAGAGTTATAATCTCTTTGACTAGATTTGTGAATAATTTTTACGACAGTTGTACTTAATTAGTAAATAATTTACAAATTAATGGAAGAAGATATACCAGTTTTGTGGATAAAATTACTAATTGGAGAGGAGTATTTACTAATGTCATGGAATTTGTTTTTCTACGTACTAGTATGTGATCGATCAGTAAATATGATCGATCGATCATTTACAAGTAATCCAAAAATATATATATCTTCAATGGATCATTTACCATTTTGATGGGAATATTTACAATTTCATTGGATTGTTTACCATTAACCTGGAAATATTTACAACTTCAATAGATTTTTTACCACAGTTATGGAAATATTTACAAATGCAATGGAATGTTTATGAAGGTTGGAAAACATGATCGATTAGATTGGTTAAGGATCGGCCAGTGCTTCCCAGCATTTGTATTACACTAGATTATTTACAAATCTTGAATAACTTGATCGATCAATATAAATTGTTGATCGAAGGAATTCACTTATTAATTGGATCGATCAATTTGGTTAACGATCGATTATTTCTCTCCAGTACTTTTTTTTTTTTTTGGATTATTTAGGAATGTGGAATAACATGATCGATCAATATATATTATTGATCGATCGAGTTCACCTTCTAATTTGATCAATCAAATATGTTAACGATTGATCATTTATCGCCACTACTTTTAGTAATTCTGATTGAATTTTTAAATCTGGAACAATATGATCGGTCCATATATATTTTGTGATCGATCAAATACACCTACTACTTACTGATCTATCATGTTTTACACGATCGATCGGTCTGATGTATAAATTGTTCAGAAAGTAAGCGATCGATTAGTTATTAATTGGAGCGATCAATAACATTTTGTAAATTATGATCGATCATATATTTTGCAATAGATCAATGTAGATGTGTTGGTATAACAGAAGAATGGTTGTTCAATCCCCCCCCCCATATTAGCGATATAAATGTGGTAGTCTAGAACTATTCGATCAATCGCGTATTTTGCATGGATTTTGTAGAATTTGGAATAGATTTTGTAGGATTTTTAATGGGTTTGAAATGGGTATTATCGGATTTGGAAGGGATTTTGAATGAGAATGGAAGGCACGAGCAATTTAGGGGTAATTTTGTGGGATTTGGGGATTTATTTGGGTAAGTCGATGTTTATTTACTACAAAGCCCCCCTTACAACACTTAAATTTATTACTCTTTGTGGGCATTTAAGTAAATACATCAACTTTTAATCTATCCTATTTATTTTTGATCGATCGCAATCCCACTTGCTCCTTAAACTTCTCCAGCAGTAACTCCTTGATCAATCATTATACATAATTGATCGATCGCCATCTCACTGCCACCATAACCTTCTCCATCACTAACGCCATGATCGATCAATATACATAATTGATCGATCGCAATCCCACTGCCACCATAACCTTCTCCATCACTAACGGCATGATCGATCATCATACATAATTAATCGATTGCAATCCCACTGACACCATAAGCTTCTCTATCAATAACTCCACGATGGATCATTATACATACTTGATCCATCGCAATCTCACTTCCCCTTCAACTTCTCCATCAGTAACTCCATAATCAATCAATATACATAATTGATCGATCGCAATACCACTGCCCAATAAACTTGTCCATCAGTAACTCCATGATCGATCATTATACATACTTGATCGATCGCAATCTCACTTCCCTTTCAACTTCTCCATCAATAACTCCATGATCAATCATCATACATAAATTGATCGATTGCAATACCACTTCCCCTTCAACTTCTCCATCATTACCTCCATGATCGATCATCATACATAATTGATTGATCGCAATCCCACTGAATTTTAACATTTCTCAATCTTGTTGTAATTATACCATTAATTTTGTACTTTTACCTAGTAATATCGTTAACATTGTAGTTTTTTAGAAAAAACACCTTATTGAGCCACTATGATCAATTATTCATATTCGTGATCGGTCAAATTATATATTTATTTATTTATTTCTAAAATTCCATTTTCTTACGCAACACCTTTCCACATAATGATCGATCATACATTTATTCGATCAATCATATATTATATTGATCGATCATCCATTACATTGACTATGAATCGTAAATTTTTTCACTTTTGTTGTAAATATACCTTTACTTTTGTATTTATCTCATTCCTTTTTTACATTTCTTACTGATGTCGTAAATACATCATTGTCATTGTACTTGGTTCCACTCACTTTGTAATAATACTATTATCTCTGTTATTGTACCCATTATTGTTGTAAACCATGCAACTAATATTGTAAATATTCCATAATATTTGTAACTCACTCATTGCTGTGGAGTCATAAATTTTTTCACTTTTGTTGTAAATATACCT